CCCCCCACAAACCCAGCCGCTGACGGCAGCACGTGCCAGCACAGACGGGCACCATCCTTTGTGCTCTGCACAGACACGCGTGTGCAGCGGCAGTGCCGCCGCATCATGCATGCTCCGCGCACGGGACCCGCATGTGATGGCCCTGCTCCTGGCCAGTGCTCCCTGTGCACACCAAGCTCACAGAGCATGCACGCAACGCGGGCTGTTGAGGCCGAGCTCGCAGTGGGGACCCTGGGGGTGTCTCTCTCTTACGGAATAAACACATAAGCTTCTTTAAACTAATGCATACAACTCACCCTCACCGCACCCCGGGGCTGGGTGTTCTCATTACTCCCTACGACAGATGAGGCAACCGAGCAGAGAGACCAGGCCCGCTCGGGGTCACACAGCCCTGGAGCAGCAGGTCTGGGACTGAACCCCATCACCCAGCCCGAGAACGGGCTACTCTCCCCGCGGCTGCCCAGCTGGGCCTCGGGGCATCAGCAGGTGCCCACGGAGGCCCCAGCTCGCTGACTCTGCCACCCACCACGCCCCGGGCCGGCCCACCCCTCGCTGCCCCCAGGCCTCTTATCAGAAGTCACGTTTCCTGCTTCCTCGGACAGCTCCAGCCAGCGGGTGACTTCCTCCTCCCGTGCCCACCTGCCGCCCGCCCTCCCGCCCTGCAGTGCTCACCAGCTCCACCTGGGGCCCCAGGCCTTCCAGGATCCGATGCGCGGCTTCGGCCTTCTTCTGCAGGGACGGAGAAGGGGGGGTTAGAGACGACACAGGCAGGTCAAGAGACCCCGCACAGCGGGCAGCTGCCCAGCTGCTCCCGCCCTGCAGCCCTCCTTGGCTGGAAAGAAACCACCCTGGGACCTGGGGACCCACGATCCAGCAAGCACGCCAGGTCTCGACTTGAGCAAACACGCCGTGCCCTCCGGGCCAGCACCCCTGCCAGCCCCAGGCCCGGCGAGCTGGGCACCGCTGCCCAGCCTGCCCCGGCCACACGTTGGCCCTGGACGCTGCTGTCCTCTACGATTACCTCGGCCGTGCGGCCAGCGGGCGGGGCGGGCAGGCCACAGAGATACCCTTTCTAGGATTCCTGTGTTTCACAATCATGTGATTATTTCTGGGCTGCCCCGGGCCTCCCCGCCTCCCTCCCCACTCACAACCCGGACTTATTTGGAAAACAGGGCCATGTGCAGAGCAGGCTGCATGGCCAATTCAACAGGCTGGACCTCGGGGCGCTGGGCCATGAAGGAGGACATTGTGCCCCAGTCAGGCCCCGCCAGCCCCCACCCTGGGACCACCAGGGGCCAATCAGGGGCTGCCTACAGGGCGCCCACCCAGGGGGTACAGGGAGGCAGCGAGGGATGCAGGGGGCTCTGGAAGGAGGCTTCCCTGGGGTCAGTGTCGGGAGCAAGGGCGGCCCCAGGAGGGTTTGACCCCCGACAGCCACGCTGCCCAGAGAGACCGCAACTGCGTGCTTAAAGACCAGCACACACGCGGCCGCACGCACGAGCAGGCAGCGCGGGCATCCTTGCTTGGTAGGAGCCAGTGACTCGGCCCAGCTCAGCCTGGGAGACCACGCCGAAGGTGGCATGGCCAGGAAGCCAGCCATGGAGGTCACTGCCATACTGAAGAGGCACCCCAGAGAATGTGGCTGACAAGAGAACTCCAAGTGGCCCTCCACGGGCTCTGTTCAGAGGGGTCCAGGCTCCTGGGGTCCTGGCAGAGAGCAGGGTGGGAGTGCCAAGGGCTAGGTCTGCTCTCCGGAAAGAGGGTGGGCATGTGGGTGGGCTCGAGCTGGCACCTAGAGCAACCTCTGCCTGGAACCTGGGTCCAGCCCACCCAAGAGCAGAGCCGAGCCCCAAAAACAACAGCCTGGAGGGTGGCCAGGGCCCGGGAAATCGGGCAGGTTGGCCTCGCAAGGCCCACTATCTGAGCGCTCATGTGGGTCGGCCCCAAGGCCCAGATCACACCTCGTGATGAGCAGACAAGCGCCCTCACTGGACGGACAAGGGACCAAGGCACAGAGAGACGAGGTAGGAGTGAAGGCTCACAAAAAGAAGAGCTCTGAGGGCCAGGTCCACAGGGGCATCTCCACACCGGGGGGTCGGGGAGCTGTCCCTCACCTGCCGCCCTCACACCACGCACGCGGTGTCGGCCCCTTATGGGCACCACACTGACCATTCCTGGGTGCCGGCTCACAGGGCAGGGATCCACTGTCCATGCACGCGGCCAGGCCAAGTGTCGGCCCCTGATGGGCACCACACTGACCATTCCCGGGCACCGGCTCGCAGGGCAGGGATCCACTGTCCTCTGCTGTAACTTGCCATGCCTGGCAGAGTGGGCGCCCAGGGACAGCGGGGACGGCCCATGGACCGGGAGTGGGGGGCTGGCTCCCCGTTCAGGGTCTCCCCTAGCCTCCCAAGCCCCTCCCAGCACCCTGTCACCTTTAATGGCTGGTAGCTGGCCCGACGGGCCCCATCTGCACCAGGGGCCCCATTGGCACAGCCCGACGGCAAGCCCAAGGGGCGGGGGCCCTCTCTCTGGGCTGCGGAGAAGCGGCACCGAGGGCAAGCTGCCCCACCAGACCCGGGAGCGCCCTCCTGGCACCTCCGTGGAGATACGGGCAGGGCAGCGGGATTCCTCCATAACCAGGACTGCTGAATCTCTGGACAACCTGCTCCCAGGGTAAGATCACTGCCCCGTCTTACGGACGGGGAAACTGAGGCTTGGCTAGGATGCTCAGCTAGGAGGCGGCCAGCCCACACGGTCCCAGGCAGAACCCCAAACCTGCTCCGAGCCTTCTCCCTGAACCTCTTTCTCGGGACACCCCCATCCCAATGCCTTGGGCCAGGCCCACTCGCCAGGTCCCCTGTGCCCAGCGGCCTCCAGGAGCTGCAGCTTCCGCTCCAGTCACTGCAAGCCGGGTCAGAACGCCTTTGGCTGCAGAGGAGGCGGCTGGTCCCAGAGGGCCCTGCCCAAGGTCGCCCAGAGCAGCTCACCCAGCTCAGCTCTGCACAGTGAACCCGCAACTCGGGCAGGTGGGGTCACATGACGACACCCCTACAGGGACCCCAGGGTCCACGTGGCCAGGCCTGCTGACAGTCAGAGCCCGGGAGCTGGGCCGGGGCACAGAGTCCTCAGTCACCAGACCCGTGGGCTGGCACGACCAAGCACATGTGCCCAGATCGATACGTGCACAGGTGTTCACGCCTCTGGATGGGCTGTTGAGAATGAGCTCAAGTCCCATCTCTTCCACGAAGCCCGCCATGATTGCTCGGCCTATGCTACATTACTACCCTGAGCTCCGTCAGGAACGCCGAGGGCCCTGCCATACACAGGCCGTCGCTGGTGTGTGTTCCATCCCAGCTCCAGTGTGTGCTCTCTCCCAGACAGCCGGCCCCGCCTACACGGCCCCTTTGAAGATCAAAGGAGATCCCTCCCCCGCCCGCCACCCACTGTTCCAAGAAGCCTTTCCCAGCCACTTCCAGGTTGGCTCCCTCCAGGGACTGGCCAGCCTGCTCTGCCAGCTGTGTGTGTGCCTGCCAGCCCGGCAGCCCAGCCAGGGCCCAGCCTCGGAGAAGCAGGCGGGCCCCGAGGCCGGAGGCTGTGCTCGGGCTGGCTCTGCATGTAGACAGGCCCGAGTCCTCCTCTCTCCCAGGAATCCATGGGGAAGGTGGGCGGATTAAAATCTAATCCCACTGATCTCCCAAGGGGCGTAAATTCTGGCTGCTCCTGCCAAGGGCAGTGAGGGGCCTTCCTCCTGCCCGCCAGGCCTCCCACCAGCTTCTGGGGCTCGGCCAGGCAGAGCATCCCCAGGTCCCCACCACCCCCCTGCGCCATCTGCACATCTTCCACCCGGCACCGTCCAACACGGGCCCTGCAGTGGCCTCAGAGACCCTGCCCGTGGAGCGTCCCTGTACCCACAGTCAGAAGTAAGACAGGAATCACGAGGGGCACGGACCAGGGAGGAGGCCGTCACGGAGCGGGCCTGGTGCTGACGGGGCTCGGAATTCATCCTGCTGAGACCTCTGGGCCAGGAGCTGAGGCAGGTGACAGAGTGACCACGGGGGAGGAGCAGTTCCAGCACCTCAACAACGCCCTGAGCCATGGAGCCCCTCCACGGCTGCGGGCCAGAACCGGGACAGCACTGCTCTCCCACCAAGGATCAGGGCAGGCAGGCAGGCAGGTGTGCCACCCAGCTGACCCTCCTAGGAACCTGCCCACGTCCCCTCCACCGCCGGCTCCTTCTGCGGCTCGTTCTTGGTTCTAAGACCCAGCCTCAAAGCCCACTTGCTGTGCAACCTTAGGCAGGGTCACTTTCCCTCTCTGAGCCTCCACTGCTTGATGAGGAAACAGAATGACGGTATGGAGAGAATTAAATGAAATCATGCAAAACACAAATGGTAACAAGGACAGGAGCGATGACAACCATGACGATGACAACACGGTCACCCTGGCGAGCACACCTGCAGTGTCAGCTATCGCCCCGGGGCACCGTGCGATGGGATCGTGTCGCCCCCGCACCCCGATTCAAGGTAGGGGTGGTCGTTGTCATTACTTAGGCTGCAAGTAGTATGCTCAGCTGGCAGAGACGTGAAGGGGAGGGATGGGACCCGAACCCAGGACGTATGGCTGACACTTGTGTGCAAGGCCCTTCGTGCCCCGTCGTCATGGCAGGAGGCTGAACATGCAGTTCCCAGGCCCCCCAGGCTCCATCCCACACTGCCTCACTCTTGCTACCAGAGGCAGAGGCTTCGTCAATCCAGCGGGTCTGGCAGTTCCCAGTCTAGGGCTGCTGCCACCGGCACCGGCCCGGCCCCGGGAG